CTTTTAGTTGTATTTTTGAAGTGGTTGTGCGAGGCAGCAATTTCCGGTGTTTACCTATGCTGCCATCTTGATTTCTCTGAGAAGAATATTCTTTTCATTATTGAGCAGTCTCCAGAATTTGTGTCCATTATGAATCTAGTCTCCAGGTTAAGTCCTAAGAGCCTGTGTGTGTTGTTTTTGCTACTGTCCCACCCAGATTTCTAGCACATGATTTAAAAGTTAAAGCTGCATCTTTAAGCCTATCATACAGTGTTCTGGCCCAGATAAATGTCTCAGCAAATGTGTCAGGGATAGGTAATCAGAGGGTAAAGGAAGGTAGAAGATTTATCCTAGTCCCTTGCAAGAACTCTTAAAGGAGACACTACTATTCTGTTGTTCTCCTTGGAATCAGAAACAATTTATATTCAGTGTATAATTATTGTAAGCCCTTTGCTTAAAGTACCTGCCCCAAAGTTAACAGTGTTAGTTTCCTTCCACTTTTCCATGTTAATAGCTGCCTTTTAGCCATAACACTGTCTGAGACTTCCCCTACCAGAAAATAGAAAATTGAAAGAGATTAACCTAAGTGGTTTAGCTACTTGCCAGCATCCCAGATAAAACATTCACTGGGGAAGGGAAAGGCTAACCCATTGGATCTAAAAAGAATTTTACTTCAGGAACACCTTCTCCAATCTTCCCCTCACCCCACACTAAGTTGATACCATGTTGCAAATTCTCACTGCATCTTTTTAATTACCCTTTAGTATACAACATGTTTACAATATTTAATCTCATGCCTGCATTTCCGTCAAGATTCTATGCTCCATGAAGAGAGGGACCTTCTCCTCCTTATTCACTGCTGTATCCCCACCAGCTAGTACAGGGTCTTGCACATATTAGGTGCTCAGTAGATTATTTGTTGAATTGATAAACACTCAATACAGTGGGGCCTTGACTTACGAGTGTCCCGACTAATGAGTTTTTTGAGATACGAGCTGTCTCTCGGCCGATTTTTTGCTTTGAGTTGCAAGCTAAAATTCGGGTTACGAGCCAGTTTCAGATACCCCACCTCTAGTTGATGTAGCGAACGTCACAGTAAACGCCACAACATCAGCCCACCATCACGTGTCTCATTGGTTCACTTTTTGATTTGACATACGAGTAATTTGAGTTACGAGCTCTGTCACGGAACAAATTAAACTCGTAAGTCAAGGCCCCACTATACATGTAACAATGAATCAATTCCTGGCATGATGAATGGGAATAATTAAGAGTTCTACTGGAGAACTTAGATTTCCAAATGAGATGATTCTAGGAAAGGGTCTCACTGTAAAACAGTTTATTTGGGAAAATGTTAATTATTTACCTGTGTTGGGTGAGTACATTTACAGCTGAAGGATGATTCGCACAGTAAGCCAAATACATGGATTTAAAATGAGGCATGAGATTCAGTAGACAACCTCCTACTTTGTGTTGGTTTTCTGGAAATCTGCAGGTAAAACAGGTGGAACATAATGTAAAACAGGAAACAGGGGAGAAAGGAAGATGATTCAAAGTAATACCGGGAACATGCAAACATTTCAAATTTTGCCAAAGTTAAAGGAGAAACTATATTACAACCATTTTATCCGTGAAACACAAATTCTTGACTGCTGCTGTAACTCTAATCACCAAACATAGGCCAATACATAGGGTCAGATACTTATTTAGAAACAGTAGGTAGGGTTTTCTTCTAAAATGCTTCTTCAAATTATAATATTCAAATTTTACTGGCCATACTAAAAATACTCTTGGCTAATTTAGATGAAGTTCAAGTATAAACAAAACTAATAAAATACAAAAAGAAATATTACATAGTCTTGGTGGCCTGGTGCTTGCTAGGCAGGGTGGCCTCAGGATTTTGAAATTACAAACCACCTGCTTTCATTTATGGAAAAATCAGACAAATACCAGGAAGAAAAAAAGTACTCAGGATTCCACCATTCAGAGATACCTATTATAACAATTTTGTCATATTCATTGGACTTTCTCCTACATGTTTCTCTATAAAATGGAAAATAAAGATCACAAATCTAGTTTGTAATCTGCTCTTCTCACTTAGTGAACATCTTTCTATATGAATAATCTGGATCCTTATCAGCATTTGGAATGGCTCCTCAGATCTCTTTAGTGTGGGCTTTTACCATCGCCTTCCCTAGACAATCATCTGTGTCCCATAAAGAAATAGGTGGGGGATGGGTGTGGCCGGAGAGAGGTCAATGGATGAAAAAGGAGATATATGTAATACTATATATAATACTTTAAACAATAAAGAATTTTTTAAAAAAATAAGAAATCAATTACTATTAAATAAATAAAATTTTTAAAAAAGAAACAGGTAATAGCCCCAATTTCCCTATAGATGATGAAAGTCACCCACTTCTCCAAAATACACTGCTTGGAATATTAATCCTTCTACAGAAATATGTTGCCTGACGATCATTATAGTTCATTTTGTAGTATGAAGTTGAATACTTCAACAATCTAGCTAGCCATCAAATATGTGTTTTGGTTCACAGAAAGATACTTTTCCTTTCCCCACTTTTCATCTCTTTCAACTATTAGTATAATAGACATGATACCAGGAGTAATTAAAAGAGGAAAACAAGCTTGTGAAACCAAATGAATAATCTGAATAACTTTTCCAAGTAATTTACAATGTACAAAAGAAAATACCTAATTGATGTCAAAGGCTTCATCCATGGCTAATTGATACCTTATTTCTCTCTTATTCTGACCAGAAACAGTAAACTTATATGATTTTAAAATAAAGACAAAAATACAAGTGATTTGACATTGTACAACCACCTGGTGCATCTTCTCTGCTCTGGGACAATACTCAAGTTGTATTACAAGCATAGATATAAAGTACCCCTGTCTAAGACAAAAATTAAAAGGAAAATAAAACAAAAACAATGTTGCTAGCTATCCTTATGGCAATATGTGACACTTACTTTGAACATTCTTCTAAGGCTTGGCAGAGTGTCTGCTGAAATGTGCATACTTCCTCAAAGTTCCCCAATAAAGATGTAAACTCCACAGTACTCAGACTGAAAAAAAAAACAACATATACATATATATATACATATATATGGTGTCAGTGAATAGAACTTTACTCTTGTTATTTCTCTCTAGTCCAGTGAGCTGATAATTTGCTAGGAAGTAGTATATGAGTCAAGAGAAGCAATCCATATATTTTAACTTTTTTTTAATTTATGTCAACTCCAGTTTTAAGGAACTTTCTAAAGCTTCTTTCCTTGATTTCTCTTTTCTATAATAAGAATAATGATCCTAAAGAAAACAAGTGTTTATAAGGTATTTTATGTATTTATCAGGTATTTTACAAAATGAGTAAATTAATAACAAGTATTTAATATCTAAGTATCTACAGAGAACAGATTGGTGTTTGTCACATATGCGGGGGTAGGGGTTGACAAAATGGGTGAAGGAAGTCAAAAGGTATAAACTTCCAGTTATAAAATAAATGTGATGGAGATGCAATGCACAGCATGGTGACTATAGTTAATAATACTGAACTGCATATTTGAAAGCTGTTAAGAGGGTGGATCTTAGTAGTTCTCATCACAAGAAAAAAAATTTCTGTAACTATATAGGGTGATGGCTATTAACTAGACTTATTGTGGCAATCATTTCACGATATAAACATATATCAATCAAATCATTATGCTGTACACCTGAAACTAATACAATGATATATGTCAATTATACCTCAATAAAAACATCTTAGCATCTAAACATGTAAAATACATCATAGGTGGCGATAAATGTAAAAAAAAAATGAGTACTCTCTTCTAGAGGAGCTGGGAAAGTAATTGAAAGGTATTATATATGCTAATATAATGCACAGGGGAAAAAAGCAAAATCCAGTTTTCCTATATTAAAATGCACATAAATCAACTAAAAAAATTCTATATGAGAGGAAGTAGGAGGAAAGAAAATAGCACTGATTTCTTTCTTTGTTTTTGGAGTGGAATGGAGTCAAACAAAAACAAACTGAACAATTTTGTCCAGGGCCTCTATATTAAAATTTTCCTCATTCATTCTTCCCCTATCAAAACAGAAACAAACTCATAGATACACAGAACAGACTGATAGCTGCCAGAGAGGAGAGGGGTTGGGGGACTGGGTGAAAAAGATGAAGGGATTGAGAAGTACAGATTGATAGTTATAAAATAGTCACAGGGATATCAATCACAGTATAGAAAATATAGTCAATAATCTATACTAATAAAATGGTAATATGCTAATTACACCAGACATCTTCCAGGCAACCTTCCAGATGTCCTTCTGGACAAAGCCATGGTGGTGGGGCCGAGGAAGAGGCAGTTAGGGCGATCAGGCCAGCAGGGGAGAGCAATTAGGGGGATCAGGCTGGCAAGGGAGAGCAGTTAGTTAGGGGGATCAGGCTGGCAGTTAGGGCAATCAATCTGGCAAGGGGGAGCAGTTAGGGGAATCAGGCTGGCAGGGGAGAACACTTAGGGTGATCAGGCCAGCAGGGGAGAACAGTTAGGGGCGATCAGGCAGGCAGGCAAGTGAGTGGTTAGGAGCCAGAGGTCCTGCATTTCAAGAGGGATATCCAACTGCCAGTTTAAGTCTGATCCTGCAGGCATCCCCCAAGGGGTCCCAGATTGCAGAGGATTCAGGCTGGGCTGAGGGACACCTCCCACCACATGAATTTTGTGCACTGGGCCTCTAGTATTGTAATAACTATGTATGATGCCAGGTGGGTACTGGAAATATCTAGCCACCATGCTGTACATTTGAAACTAATACAAAATAATATTGAATGCAAACTGTAATTGAAAAAAATACTAGTAGGTGATAACAAGAGCTAACAACACTCATTTAGCACTTAACACTTATGCAAGCATTTTACAAATAATAACTCATTTGAACCTTACAATAACTTTATGATGTAGGTACTATTTTTTCTATCTTACATGTAAGGAAACCCAGGCACAGGAAGGTTATGCAAATCATCCCAAGTCACAAAGCCAGTAAATAACGAAGTCAAAATTTGAATCAAAACATGCATGCATATAAGCATAAGTGATGGATGTGGACAACATGGGGTGAGGGTGAGGGCAGGACTGGGGGGATGAGGGGCCAATGGGGGGATAAGGACACATTTGTAATACCTTAATCAATAAAAAATTACATAATTTAAAAAATAAATTAAAAAAAAACATTCTAGCTCTAGAGCCCATACTCTTAACCACTTTTTGGGAGAAAACTTTGCTGAAGATTTACTTAAAAGGCCAGTATCTGCCACATGTCCTTTCTCCTTAGTATAGTAATACTAAGGGAATATTTCCAAGAGAGTAATTTTTAAAAAATATATTTTATTGATTTTTTACAGCAAGGAAGGGAGAGGAATAGAGAGTTAGAAACATCGATGAGAGAGAAACATCGATCAGCTGCCTCCTGCACACGCCCCACTGGGGATGTGCCCGCAACCAAGGCACATGCCCTTGACTGGAATCGAACTTGGGATCCTTGCATCCACAGGCCGACGCTCTATCCACTGAGCCAAACTGGTTAGGGCCAAGAGAGTAATTTTTGCTGACAAAGAAAAGGAAGGCCCCCAACAAATGTTACCAATAACCCCTAGAGTATAAAAAGCTCCCAGTTCCTCTACTCTAATGTCTTCCTGAACCAAGCTGGAAAACCCCTTTTATGGGTGTCGAAAGTGAAACCTTCAGCCAGCTTCCCTGGTTGTTACTCTCTCACAGCCCCAAAGAACTTGACTGGGCTTATTTGGCCCCTTCAGGATCAGACAATAAATAATCTGGTTTGGCTCAAATCATTCTGGGATCTCCAAGACAGAACCAATGGAAACTTACTATAACTGCATTTTGAATTTATTTGGAAACAGTTCAGTTCTGACTCAGGTCTCTCACCTCCTCTAACCTGGCTCTTTTCCTTTCCTTTCCTCGTACTGTTTCTTGATTACTAATCAGTCACTCCTTCATTTGAAATCTTATGATCTCCCCTCCCAGGGTTACCACTTCGGTGTCCCTCTTCTCCTCTGCCTGTCACCTCAAAAGGCACATTTCACTCGGTGGCAGGAGAGAAAATGATCCAATCTGGCCACTGACTGGTTGTGTGATGGGTACAGAAGAAAGCCTTTATGGACTTCAGTTTTCTTATTTATTTAGTGGGGACAGTCATTTCTTCCAGGGCACTAGACCCAGTGATTCATTGAGGTTCCATTCAGCTCTAAGAACCATGATTCATAGAACACTTCATGTTTTACATAATAATGACAAAAGACATTTTGTTGATTATGTTTAAACTCTTACAAAACACAGGAATACAAAGTCCTTTCATACTGAAGTAAGATTCACATAGTGCCATGAAAATAAACAAGTGCAAAATTTAGCAAGACATTATGCCTAAGCAAACATGATTTGGAAAAAAAGGAGAAAAGTGAAATATATTAAACTTATTCAAGCCTGAAGTCAATAGTTTAGGCAACTGTCTAACAAAATAAACTCTTACTAAAGTAAAAGAGGAGGCTTTTGTTTTCCATTATATGGACCAACTGCTAAATTTTCTATTTGACTTATAGATCATAATCTGTAGTAAAGATTAATAAATTAACATAAAAATACAAACAAATGCAGTGGGGCACTATTTGTTAAATATGTTATTCAAACAAGCACACAAAAAATGAATGGCCAATATTTTTCATTTGTGAAAATTAAGTTTTCAATTCAGGCCTCAATTACTTCAGGTTTCTAAGACCAGAATAAGTTTAGAACATTTTATTAAAAAAAAAACATTTTTGCATCTCTTTATCATTCACTTTTGCCTGGGTAAAATACTGCTTTGAATTTTATGAACATTCATAAAATGCCACACTTTTTCCACTCTCGGCGCATGGGAAAGAATTTCCGCCCTGGCAAGCAAACGTCAGAGTGAGCAAAAGAATTTTCAGTTCATGCGCTTTCTGGATAAAAACACCAACAAGCTCTTTTTCTGTGATGTAAAACCAGATGTATCACTTAAGACATATAGCATAAAAATTGTGAGACAGAAATGCAGATCTACTCATCCCTTCCACAGCCAGAAGAGAAAGAAAACCACGCTCTTTTCTGTTGCCTTGATCATGTTCTTAGCAACCTGTGATCTGTGGAAATTCTTCTAAAGGGCAATATAAATTATTCAGTGGCATGAGAGCAATGACTCCATATTGCTGATGTTATCTTGCTTTATTTAGTGAGCGGTTTCAAATATAAATCTTACTTGTTGTTGGACTGCAGGGGTCTTAAGTAAGTAACAAGAAGAGACTGAAGTTCTTTAGCATAATCTTTTTCAGTGTCTAGTATGTTCTGTAACACCTGTGGAGAAACAAAGATCAAGGCATTATAATCGTCAGGACAGTCAGTCCAAGATAAAATTATAACTTTAGATCTTTTAATCAAATTACTAGATCAACATCCCATTTACTCAAGCTAGCAGTGTAAGTAAGAAGCACAAAGTCTGAATGCACTTTGTTTCATTCTAGCAAACTACTTTTATAATTGCATGACAAGAAAAGTCTCAGTTAGCTAACAAAGGATCATCATTCCCATTTTATGTATGGAAAAATTGAAACCAGCTACCTTAATCCATAGAGCAGGTCGTTGAATAATGTTATTTTGTTCAACAACATTTTATTATAATGTTAATGAGATGCTGTAGGAATCTAACTTTGGTTGATATCAATTAGTCCAGTGGTCGCCAACCAGTGCTCCATGGACCACTGGTGGTCCGTGAGGCCCGAAAGTTTGGCAACTGCTGATAGTCTATGGCAGTGGTCGGCAAACTGCGGCTCGCGAAAGAAATTTCAATCGTTGTACTGTTGATATTTGGCTCTATTGACTAATGAGTTTGCCGACCACTGGTCTATGGTAAAATTCGTTTTGTTATACATCATTTCATTTAAAGTCATAGAACCTCTCGAAGGTGTTGTGAGGACTTACTGTAGAGATTCAATCAATATCAAGATAATATAACAATAACTGATGTCAAACATCACAAACGAATTTTTAAGTTATGTTTTTGATAAGACCCTTAGGGAACAAAATCTGAGGACACTGAATTTTCAAACAGGGTTAAAACTGGTCTTTTAATAAAGATAAAAGGTGCTAGTATAAACAATTCAAAGAGAAAAGGAAGCTGAAATGTGAGAAATTTAACAAGGGAAATAATACTTACCAGTATTATTAATGACAAACCAATTAAATCCTATAGGCAAAACAACCAATGTATAGGCCCATAATTTCTCTTCCCCTATCAGTTGTAGGGTCACACCCCATTTCCTAGCCTCTCTGGAGGCACCTACAGCTTTCACTTTGAGCTCCTAGGTATAACCAAGCTTACATTTTTACATATTTTCTCTCATATAGCCCTAATTCTTTCAACAAAAAATTCATTGAATATCCAGTCAATGCCAAATGCCATGTTGTCCGCAGGAAGTTTCCACTCTGTTTGTAGAGGGAGATATTAAATAAGACAATGAGGGATCACAAGACAATGTAAAGCATTCTTAGCTAGGAGAGTCTAAGAGTCTACCAATATGCCAGACATATACTCACAAGACAATGCACGATGACCTGATTTTGAAAGATGGAATGAACAATGCAAGTGGAGCCCAGGTAGCAGTGGGCTTTTTGGGAATCAACTGGTCTAGAGCGTGGTCATCCACAGTTTGCTATTGACTGACAGGTTGCTTCAAATTTAAGGCTTTGCTCACCTCATCTCAAATCATGACATTTCACCTACCTTCGGTGACGACTGTGAAGAGATAGTAAGACATCTGTACAGGTAGGTGCTGGGTGAGTGGGAAATAGTCCGAGCAATTTAAGGGGTTAAAAGGTTTCTGAATGGCAGCAATGTTGACATTTTAGACCAGATAATTATTCGATGTGAGGGGATGTCCTGTGCACTATAGGATGTTGAGCAGCATCCTATATCCACTAGATGCCAGTTGCATGCCATCCTCTACCCCAGTTATGACAACTAAAAATGTCTCTAGACATTGTCAAATGTCACCAGAAGGGTAATATGACCCCCTAGTTGAGAACTACTGGTTTAGAAGAATAAGGGACACAAGGCTGGCTTTAAAAACTGGGGATTATAAACAGAGAAAGACAAATACCACAGGATTTCACTTATATGTGGAAACTAATTAACAAAATAAAGTGGCAAACAAAATAAAACCAGGGGTATAGATACATGGAACAAACTGACAAGTGTCAGAGGGAAGAGGGGAGGGGGGACTGGTTGAAAGAAGGTGAAGGGATTAACCAAAGAACATATATGTATGCCACATACACACAAACAACAGTGTGGTGATGGCCAAAGGGAAGGGGGCTGGGGCTGGTGAAGGCTGGCAAGGGGTAGAAAGTGGAGATATGGGTATCTGTAATAAGGTCAACAATAAAAAAGCAAAAAAAAAAAAAAGCTGGGGCTTAAATGGTAGCCCTTCCTCCCCAGCCACTAATATATCTACTCTCAGTTCCTCTATTCTTCAGAAACTATTCTTTAAAGTTATAAATGTAAATCCAGGGGCCTGGTAGGACTAAAGTTCTATGAAATTAATCCAATAATGAAATATAAATGTCACCCCTATACAAAGTCTAAGCACAATAAAGGGAATTAGAAACTAATGAGATTAATTTTTTAAAAAACACATAAAAAACATATGGAATGCAGTTAAAGCAGTGCTTAGGAGACAAATATATAGCTGTGAATGCCATCAAATAATGACAATAAATACATATCCATCAACACGTGAATCTAAAAGTCAAAAATAAATAAACAAGGAATCTAATGAACAAAATAAACTGATGAATAAAATAGAATCAGAGACATGGAAGCATGGAACAGACTGACAAATCTCAGGGGGAAGCTAGGAGGGGGACGGGATGAGCTTAACCAAAGATCTTACCTATGGACAAAGACAGTAGGGTGGTGAAGGCCTGGGGTGGGGTGCAAACCAGGTGGAGGGGGGCAATGGGGGGGACATCTGAAGTACTCTCAACAATAAAGACTTAAAAATTAAGTTAAAAAGCCAAAAAAAGAGATGAATTTGGATTTCTGATTTCCAGTCTTGCATTTAAGAAGCTTGTAAGTCATTAACTCTATCCTAATAACAAGTAAATAGCTGAACACACTGAAAGAAAACTTATCTTCTCTTATATCTGTCAGTGAATTATGGTCATGGAGAAAACACTACTCCCTAAATTGGAGAAACAGACAGAAAGATACAGAGAATCAAAACTTGCTGGAGAGGAAACCCAGGAGCAGAAGTCTCCATGGGAATTGGAACCTGGGTAGGAAAACCTGAACTGAAATGAATAGCTGGGGGCTCAATGCAAAACAGCATGAAAGTTAAAAACTCTAGGGGCCCAGTCACAGGGGAATATACCCACACTTTTGTGACTTTTACTTCCAGTAGCTCTAAAGGGTTCTCACAATGAAGATAGGAGGATAATCCCACTCATGCTTCAGAAAATTCTGTTCTTCGTAACAAGGTTTCCTCTCAAGAGAGCAATAATTTTACCATAGCCTCACCTATTGGGGTTTTATCAGAGCCTAACATATATAGGAGAAGGGAAATACCTAATTCTTATCTTGAAGTCCCACCTAAGGGAGGAAAAAGAAAAAAACTGAGAAGTGCTGGTGAAGCTTACAATCTAGGGACATAAGCTCACCAAGAGATGGAGAATTAATCATAGGACATTAAAACACTTCCTCACACCTCACCATCACATTACTAAAGGCCTATTTACTACAATTCCTTTTACCTAGTACATCATGTCTGGTTTCCAACAAAAACTTACAAAGCATACTAAAAGGTAAAAAAAAAAAAAAACAGCTTAAAAAAACAGGGCAAACATTAGAATGAGAGTCAAATATGGCAGGAATATTGGCATTATCAGACCAGGATTTTAATGTAACTATGATTAATATGCTAAGACCGGTAATAGTAAAAGTAGATAACATATAAGAACAGATTGATATTGTAAGCAGAGAGAAATACTAAGAAAGAATAAAAATGAAATGCTGAAAATAAAAAACACTATAAAAGAAATGAAGAATGCCTTGGATGGGTTCATTAGTAGGCTGAGCCACTGAAGAATCTCTGAGCTTGAATATATGTCAATAGAAACTTCCAAAACATAAAAGCAAATAGAAAAAAAAAGACTAAAAAATTGGAACAGAATACTTCAAAAGTGGGGGACAATACCTAACAATGTGTGATGAGAATACCAAAAGAAAGAGAAAAAGGAACAGAAGAAACATTTGAAACAATGACAGAATTTCCCTAAATTAATGTTAGACACAGAACCACAGATCCAGAAAGCAGAATAAATGCTCCCCCTCCCCCCACCAAAAAAACCCCCCACCTAGTCATATTATTTTCAAACTCTAGAAAAATCAAAGATAAAGAAAAAATCTTAAAAGAAGCCAGAGGAAAAAAACAGCTTATCTATAGAGGATCTAAGATAACAACTATATTCCACTTCTCCTTATAAACCATGCAAGTAAGAGGAGAATGGAGTGAAATATTTAAAGTGTTGAGGGGAAAAAAAAACACCAACCTGGAATTCTGTATCCTGTGAAACTTTTTTTTCAAAAGTCAAGAAGCAATAAAGACTTTATCAAGTATACAAATATTGAGGGAAATTTTTTTCAGTAGACCTGCCTTGCAAGAAGTATTTTTTAAAACTTCTTCAGATCCCTAGCCAGTTTGGCTCAGTGAATAGAGCGCCAGCCTGCAGCGCTAAAAGGTCCCAGGTTCGATTCTGGTCAAGGGTACATGCCCCGGTTGCAGGCTCAATCCCCAGTGGGGGCCATGCAGGAGGCAGCTGATCAATGATTCTCTCTCATCATTGATGTTTCTATCTCTCCCTTCCTCTCTGAAATCAATAAAAATATATATAAAAAAAAACTTCAGAGAGAAGGAAAATGCTAAAGGTCAAAAACTCAAAAAGCATGGAGGAAGGAGTAAGTGAAGGTAAAGTAAAAAGTTATTTTTCTTATTCTTAGTCAATCTAACAGATAAGTTTGTTCAGAATAATAGTAGAAATAAAAATAATAGATCATATATGCTTATATATAATGCTGATGTACACTTACGTATAATTGAAATGAATGAAAAAAATGATAGAGGGGCAGGGGGAAGGAATTAGGAACATGTTGTTATTATGAGGTACTTGCACTACCTATGAAGCCATACAGTATTATTTAAAAGTGGACTTGGACTAATTCTAAATGTATATTGCAAATTGTAGGGCAATCACTAAAAAAAGTAAAATAATTTCTAGAAAGGCACAAACTACCAAAACTG